ATTATAAGTTTCACCCTCATCATATATTATTATGCCAAGAACTGCTTGGGAATGATTTTCAGAATTGTGTAGCTTTCTCAGTGGTTATAGCAACAGTTGTAGACCTTTTTCCAAAATGTTCTTTTTACCATTGAAGCTACATTCACAGATGACAGCCAAGTGAATACTAGAAATGTGTGTTGCTGGGCTGCAGAGATCCCATGATGGTTTCAACTAGTTCAGTATCAGTGCCAAAGGAGCGTAAATGTATGGTGTGGAGTCATTGGAAACCATATTATTAGTCCTTATTTTATTGAAGTGAATGTAAATGGTGAACTTCAACGCCAGTGGGCATATAAATTCCTACTCAACTCCTCTGCCGGAGGATATTTAAATATTTAAATCGGAGAGTGCAACATTTCCTTTAAAGTGTAATAAATTGTGAAACACTGAAGTTCTATTTTTGTAATTTTCACACTAGGTTCAGAAATGTATATAGAATCGGTGTATTGATCCACGCTGCTTTAAAATTATTTCTTGGCACAGTAAGCCTATAAAATTATTAATGATAGTATCATATTACCTTAGAAGTTCAGCTGGGTGTGTTAGTCATGAAAACATTCCGCACAGGGTCCTACGTCACACCAGTACACAATTTTTGGCACAACACGCCGTTACTGTGGTTTTGACTTAATCGCAGTTGGTGGAATCTTGCTTATAAAATTTCTTTCTCTTAGACGGGGCACTGTTTTGTCGGATGAATGTCGACCCGGCACTAGCATATTTCACAGAGAGTCCCTCAATTAACTGAATTCTGATTGACAATTGAGCTATTCTTTTCCTTGTGTTATTCCTACGTACGAAGGGGGACCCAAAAATAACCGGAAACGACCTGTTGCGCGGGCATGCTTTGTAGTTACGAGTTGTGCTGCTAGGTGGTGTTAGCTGGGGGTCTCCCGCAACTGTTAGTGAGCTGGCGTCAGTCTGAGTTAAGTGGTTTGTCTGTGGTGCTCTGTTGTGTGCGTTCCTGTTTCAACCCTTTGGCGATTAGTGAGATGGCCGACCAGAAGGAACAAAGAGTGTGCGTGAAATTTTGCTTTCTGTTAGGGAAAACTGCACTTCACTCTTCAAGTCGCGGCAAACATTCACGCGGTTTTCTCTTTGGTCATCTCCGAGCAAGCGAGGAACAAATTTTGCAGACACCCGTCTCATGTGCAAACCTTCGGTTAAAATTCGCTGGACCGTGCTCCATGAGATGTTCGTTTCCTCAGAAAGTTGGTCAATGGTCTTTCGACGATCTTCATCAATTGCACGTTTGATTTTGGCAATGTTTTCGTCATTTCTTCCTGTCGAAGGACGCCCGGGGCGTGGCATGTCTTCTGTTGACATGTTGCCAGATTTGAAACGGGAAAACCACTCGTAGACCTGTGATTTCCCCAAAGCATCATCATTAAAGGCTTGCCGAAGCATCCCAACAGTCTCGGCTGCAGTTTTCCCTAACAGAAAGCAAAATTTCACGCACACTCTTTGTTCCTTCTGGTCGGCCATCTCACTAATCGCCAAAGGGTTGAAACAGGAACGCACACCACAGACAAACCACTTAACTAAGACTGACGCCAGCTCACTAACAGTCGCGGGAGACCCCCAGCTAACACCACCTAGCAGCACAACTCGTAACTACAAAGCATGCGCGCGCAACAGGTCGTTTCCGGTTATTTTTGGGTCCCCCCTCGTATTATCACATTCAGAAATTTTCTGTTTGTTCCTTACAGTTTTGCATATTCTCCCAATGGATGTTTGTGCTATTCTTGATTCTGTCATTTACCGTATCAAGAACAGCAAAAACATCCATTTTCAGTGTATAACTCTGAATCTGATAAAACCGTATTCTGTTTCGGTTTGAAATATATATATTCTTCACTGGTCATGACACAACACAGCTGGCCACTTTGCTCCTTGCTGCTGGCCTTGACTAACCAGACTGCATGATGTGTATTTATAGAACAAAGGGGGATTACAATGGTATCATTCATATAGTGAACTGTTTATCATTTGCCAGTAGCAGTCATAACACACTTAGAATCAGCATCACGGCTCAAAGTCTAGTAGATTCTTCACGTGTCTTCTTGTAGTTACAAATTCCAATGTGGAAGCAGCACAGTTCAGAATATGCCTCAAGAGAATCGACTTTTCGTTCGATCAGGATAGAGGATAGTACACAGTATCAATCTAACATATTTAGTTCATAAAAATTCCCCAAGGCAGAGGTAGGTTTGTATGGTAACAGGTGCACCAAGTGTTCAAATGGAAAACTTTTTCAAAGAATCCATATGTATTACAACTCCTGCAGGAAGTTCAAAGTGGACAACGAATATAGGAAATGAGAGCCAGAAACTTCCTCTTTAATTTCATGTCAAAAGAATTACTTTACATGAAAAACAATAGTTCAAAACAAGAGCTGAATCATAGCGCTACACTAAGCGTACAGTGCACGGACCCTGGCGGGGTCCAGAAACTGCTGGGGTGCTTTGCACCAAGCCCGGAACTGAAGGTTTAAACATCCTGCCTCCTCTTTTACAAGATACTGCTGAGAAATTTAATGTGGATGTGATACTAACATGATTGCCATCCAGCACCTAATGCAGTTGAAGAGTTCTTTTTTCTGGCATATAATGCGATGTAGTCCATTGAAAGTCAGCTGACATTGCAGAGGAAAGATGGTTAACTGTCAACAGACTACACAGAGTTATATCCCAAAAGACAGAACTCCTCATAACCACTGCTGTGAGAACATTGAAGCCTACATAATGGAATTGTATGCACTATACTTACTAGAGTATATTCCCACCACTGCGGCCCGGGTTTGATCCCGAGTCTGGTCAAGTGGGATTTGTGGTGGACGAAGTGGTGCTGGAGCAGGTTTTCTCCGAGTACTTCAGTTTCCCCTGCCAATCTTCATTCTACCAATTGCTCCACCATCACCCTCACCTATCATCTGGGGCTGGTACAATAGGCCAGAAGTGGCCGCAGTACAAGGGACTTAGTCCCACCCCACTAGCAATAAAAAATACTAGAGTATATCTCGATTGTTGTATTGTTCATAGTGGACCAAGAAGTTGTCTCACTCATTCTCTTGACTTCACACCATTGAATTTCTTTATGGGGAACTAAATGGCGTTGTGCAATGTTCCAACAACACTGGATAACGTGAGACAACATATTGATGACTGCTGCCATGAATCCCCAAGTAATTTATTGATCAAGGCAGCATTTTCATTGATTAACTGTATCTCCACAGCTATGAATAATAAGCAAATTGTGGGAGGCATTTTTTGCAACCTACGAAAGGCCTTTGATTGTGTAAACCATGGAATTCTATTGGATACACTTGAATTTTATGGAGTACATGGTATTTTTAAAACACTAATCGAATCTCATGTGACTGACAGACAGCAAAGAGTTGCTCTGGGACATACAACTGATAGTGATAATTCATCTAGATGGGAGAAAGTAAACTATGGGGTACCACAGGGCTCGATTCTTGATCCCCTGATTTTCTTGCTGTACATACATGATCTTCCCAAAACGATAAATACAGATAATAGCATGGCATTATATTCTTGTAGGAATATTTTTNGGAATATCTTTAAGCAATTGGAAATAATGACATTATATTCACTATATATATATATTCATTACTTCTCTTCATAATAAATAACAAACATATATTCAATTCCAATAATGAGATTCACGAATATGTAACTTGAACCCATGATGACTTACATGTTCCTGCTGTGAAAACAGCAGAATTTAATAATGGAACATACATAACAGGCATCAAAGTGTACAGTCACCTGCCTCAGTCAATAAAGACCTTAGCCAATAATGTTAAAACTTTTAAATCTACACTGAAGAGGTTCTTATGTCAACATTCTTTTTAGTCGATGAATGAATATTATCAGTATACTGAAGACACGGACGTGTAATCCATCTGCTATTTAAATGGTTAATTTAATTTCCATGCTGTATAAGAATTATTTTAACAACTAATACTAAATACAAGGTATTAATAATAGTATTTTACGTTTGTACCTATGGAATTCTTATTATATACTAATTTTTCAATTTTATGAATTGTATATTTTAGACTGCTATCGCATTGTATATATTATGATTTAGTTTTTACAACATGATTGTGACAATGATAACTATTTACCTACATTAGTTATTGCAGTACATATAGTAATCTGACATGTTCTACATCCTAGGCACATTGTGACCAGAGAGGATTCATGGAATTTTAAAATAAATGAATGAATGTGATCTATTTACATGTAATTGGTATAGGTGACAACCATGCCAAATATTTGCTTTGCAATACTTGGTTTTCCAGGTCTTCACGGCAGAACTACTTGGCAAATCTTTCCTAGTCTCTGGCACTAGTCTTGGTAGTGAGAATGTTAGAAATTGATCTCTTAACACTTCTGTCATCATTCCTGTAATGTCTTCATTTTGACTGTCAAAATGTTTGATTTTTAAAATCTGTGGACAAGTTTTCCTTCTTTAATGCAGAGGAAATGAAAGTCATGTGTTCAGAGTGTAAATAGTGATGGAATAAAATTCCTAATACATATTAAATTAATTAGCCTCTGTTCATGGATTTATAGGTTTAAAAGTGACTTGTTTTGAAGTTAGCTGTTATAGAAATGCACAGTATGCATTTCTGTAGGCCTGCCTCTTGCTTGTTCATTTATTCATAGCCATTATAGAACATCTTCAGATGTTTATGAAGTAGGAAGATAATTTGGCTGTGTTTGCATGCAGGAAATCTAATATGTTGTAACTGTTATATTTCAGTGTTGGGGTGTACTCTTACTGATACATTTGTAAGAATGTGTTTAAACGCCTGAGAAAATAAGTTTAAGACACTTTTTATGAAAGTTTGGTTGCTGTATACCAGTTGCATCTTGAAAGAAAGAATCAACTTGGTAAATCTCAAGTCATATTTTTTTCTGTTCTAGGAGCCAGTGGAATCTCAAGATGGATCTTTACCTAAGCACACAGGACACTCTGTCATTACAGGAAATGTTGGATTGTGATATAAAAACAGAAATAGAGAGTGTGTTAGGAGGCGCAGATTTAAGTCTGTCACTTAGTGAATTACCACCTCTTGATTTAGATGAAGCTTTAGGTGGACCTGGTGACATGCATATGTGGTTCACAAGCAATGGCTGCCTTCACAGTGGAAACAGCAATTCTTCAAATTCAAATTTTAACTTGGATTTTGTAGGTAGTGACGCTGCAGCAATGATGGTGAACCCAAGCAGTGTAATGCCAATGACTTTGGTTACAGTTCCGCCAACAACTGCATTTACAAATATTTATAACAGTTCAAGTTCAAATTTATTAATCACGTCGTCATCCTCTGCATCATCTTTGTCACCTGTTGAAGAACAGAAATCACTTTCATCTTCAGATGCCTCATCACGAGCTGAAAATACAACTAATTCAGTAAGAACTCTAACAACAACAGCTTCATCTAGTAGCTCGTCAACTCAGTCTCGTCAACAGGCATCTACTACAATAAGGATAACAAATCCATCAATATCATCACAATCAAGTCATGTGAGCACCTCGAATAGTAGTGGACTTTCCTCGTCATTGATCAAAACCGTCCCAGTAATAAGCAGTAGTACAAAAACATCCCAGCAAAAACATTTAACCCATATTCAAGTGAGCAATGTAAGAACTGTGTCTGTTTCTCAGCATCAAAGCAGCCACAAGAGACAACCACATTTAAACAATAATACAAAACATTTTGCTGCTGATGTAGATTATGACGAGAGACCGTATCCAAAGCCTGCATACTCCTATTCCTGTCTTATTGCAATGGCTTTAAAGAACAGCAAGACAGGAAGTTTGCCAGTCTCAGAAATATATAATTTCATGTGGTAAGTATCTTTTTGAGTGTTGTCATAGGGTGCGATCGTTTCAGAGCCCACCACAATTTGTCTTCATCCCAAACAGAAGAATTTGAGCTTCCCCCTTTCGGATGGGCAGCCAAGAATGAGAATGTCAGTGGAATTTCCAGGATATGCTCCCTGTTTTTATACATTCCTGGTACCTCTTTAAAATACTGATATTAGCATGATAAGTTCCTTTTTCTGAAATAAAGCAAACATCAAAGTTGAAACCATCATTTCCTATGCAAGGTGCCTTGAGTGATATTCAGGGAGAATGTTCAAGTCAAGCACCAAGTACATCCAATTTCTTTTTTATGGGCATTCCATGTTTTCATTTTTGTCCATCTGTGAACCCGTCTGTCTTGATTTATTTATGAACATGTGAATAATAGTTCTGTGTGGAACTGTAAGATCATGAAATTTATGCCAGAAACTTCTCATAGTTTTCATACATAGGCTTATGATGCAGATATTGTATATAAAACTTGATCCATTATGTAACTCATTCCACAGACCACTGTATGTCGCAGTGCAAGGGCTGAGAAGGCCTACCCCTCATACATTCATTCATTCAACTCATTCCATTCTGAAGCAAGAAATATCACAACTGGATGACTGAGTGCTTACTACATTAAAAATACACAATACAAATAGTTACTAAAATGGTAACAGCTGACAAGAAATTAGTAACTGGAATGAAAAGTACCTTCTGCCCAAATACAATATGAGTGACAACTTGGGGTTTTGGATTTATGAGTGGGCTGTCATACAGCACATAAGCTTGTTTTATGGTAATTATTTATTGATTTAATAGCACAATTTAAAGAAAAATTATGATGTGTATACACTCTTGGATTCTCAGTTCCACCAGAAGCTTGTATCTCCATGTTCCAACATGGCAAGAAAAGGTGTTGCTTCACCTGGCTCTCAGATGATCGCACTGTTATTAAAATATTGCATAAAATATAATACAAAGTTAAACAATTTTGAAGAATTAAAATAGTTAAAACAGTTGTAGGAACATTCATAGTAAGGTAATATTTTTGTAATAACTACTGGCATGCCATTAACTTTATCACTCCTGAGTTATTAATTCTTAGAAATACACACACTCATGGAGCTGAGCCCTTCTGGAGGAGCCACCATTTCTGCAGCTACTCAAGAATTTCCCAGCATTTTATGGAACCCGAAGGTTCATTACCGGGTTCACAAGAACCCTCCACTGGTCCCTATCCTGAGCCAGATCAATCCAATCCATACCGTCCCATCCTATCTCTCTAAGATCGATTTTAATATTGTCCACCCACCTACACCTTGGTCTTCCCAGTGGTCTCTTTCCTTCTCGCTTTCCCACCAATATTCTATGCACATTCCTCGTCTCCCCTATTTGTGCTACATGCCCTGCCCACCTCATCCTCCTTGACTTGATCATTCTAATTATACTTGGAGTAGAGTACAAGTTATGAAGCTCCACATTATGCAGTTTTCTCCAACCTCCCATCACTACATCTCTCTTCGGTCCAGATGTTCTCCTCAACACCCTGTTCTTAAACACACTCAGTCTATGTTCCTCCCTTAATGTCACGAGACCAAGTTTCACACCCATACAGAACCACAGGCAAAATTATAGTTTTATATATTCTAATTTTTATGTTTTTGGACAGCAGAGAAGAAGACAAAAGGTTCTGGACTGAATGGTAGCAAGCATTACCTGAGTTCAATCCCCTCTTAATTTCCTCCTTAATCAGGTTTCGATTTATTATCGTTCCCAAATACAAGGTGGTTCAAATATGACTGGGACTGATTTTTTTTTTTTAAGCCATAATTGCCGAACACTTACTTGCACATGTCATTCTTCAACGTACTCCCCTCTGGAGTCAACGCATTTTTTCCAACGTTCTGGAAGCATCCTGATGCCCTTTTCAAAAAAGGCTTGTGGTTGGCAGCATATCCACTCCCGAACAGTCTGGACGACGGCGTCGTCCACAAACCGCATGCCTTGCAAGTCTGATTTGAGCCTTCCAAACAGGTATAAATCACTTGGGGTTCAAATCGGAACTGTACAGCGGATGAGTCAGAGTGTTCCATTTCAATTTCAGGAGGGTTTCCATTGTTTTGACCGTATGGGGGCATGCATTGTCTTGAAGGAAGGCAACCTCCTCTCCACCTGTCTTCCGCTTTGATCGGATCTTTTCCTTCACGTCTGTTGCAAGGAGGCCTGAGTAATAAGCTGCATTGACTGTTCTGGCATCTGTCAGAAAGTCTACATGAATAACCTCCTGCTAGTCCCTGAAGAACGTTGCCATCACTTTTCCTGCCAAACAGCTCCTCTGCACTCTCTTGGGTTTGGGAGAACTGGTATGCAGGCACTTGCATGATGACTGCTGGGACTCTGGAATGAAGTAGTGGACCCATGTTTCATTGGTGGTCACTATAGACTTCAAAAATGCATCACCTTCGTCTTCAGACTACTGTAGTAGAAGACTGGCAGCTTGCATGCGCACCATTTTGTTCACGTCCGTCAAAGTGCATGGTACCCACCATGCATTCACCTTGCGATAGTGCAGGTGGTATTTCACGATGTCTTCTACACTACCAACTCTGACGGACAGCATTGCTCCAAGTTCCTTGATAGTGATGTGCCTATTCTCACAAATAAGCGCGTCTGCACAATCAATGTTAGGCTCGGTGATGGATGTTCATGGGGCCAATGATCATGCGGTTCATTCTCCACGCGCTCTCTGAAGCACTTACACCACTTAAACACATGGGTCCATGAGAGACACTCTTCCCCATACTGTTGTTGGAGTCTGTGGTGAATTTCAGCGGATGGAACATTTTCTCCAGCAATGAATTTGATCACTGAACAGGTTCTAACATGAACAGGAGGGAGGGTGGAGGTTGTGGCTTCAATCTCTCAAGGTCAGNTCCTTGATAGTGATGTGCCTATTCTCACAAATAAGCGCGTCTGCACAATCAATGTTAGGCTCGGTGATGGATGTTCATGGGGCCAATGATCATGCGGTTCATTCTCCACGCGCTCTCTGAAGCACTTACACCACTTAAACACATGGGTCCATGAGAGACACTCTTCCCCATACTGTTGTTGGAGTCTGTGGTGAATTTCAGCGGATGGAACATTTTCTCCAGCAATGAATTTGATCACTGAACAGGTTCTAACATGAACAGGAGGGAGGGTGGAGGTTGTGGCTTCAATCTCTCAAGGTCAGACAGCTGCTGTGCAGTGCAGCTTGTTTACACACAAATCAGTCCTGGTCATATTTGGACCACCTTGNTGGGGCCAATGATCATGCGGTTCATTCTCCACGCGCTCTCTGAAGCACTTACACCACTTAAACACATGGGTCCATGAGAGACACTCTTCCCCATACTGTTGTTGGAGTCTGTGGTGAATTTCAGCGGATGGAACATTTTCTCCAGCAATGAATTTGATCACTGAACAGGTTCTAACATGAACAGGAGGGAGGGTGGAGGTTGTGGCTTCAATCTCTCAAGGTCAGACAGCTGCTGTGCAGTGCAGCTTGTTTACACACAAATCAGTCCTGGTCATATTTGGACCACCTTGTATCTGAACTGTGCCACATTTTCAAAACATCTCTTTCCTATCTTTATGTCATGATTCAGCCCTGTATTTTGGTGACAAGACAGCAACATATACTTAGTTTTCTCTGTGTTTACTTCTAGATCAACCTCTTTACTTGCATCAATTAAAGTTTGTGTGTTTTTCTTTATGGTATCTACATTATCACCCAGTAGATTCACATCATCGGCATAGGTCAACAGCTGATGTGTCCCGTTTAATTTCAGTCCCACCAGGTTTCCCTGGACCTTCATAATGGCATATTCTAAAGCAAAGTTGAAAAGGAGTGCCAATAAAGCATCTCCTTGTTTTGGACCATTCTGGATAGGAAATTTATCAGACAAATGTTTACCTACACGGACTTTACTATACGTTTCGTTTAAACACATTTTAATCAACCTAACTAGTTTCATGGGTATCCCAAACCTTATCAGAATATTGTACAATACTTCCCTCCTAACAGAATGGTAACCTTGAAGTGTATGAATAGCTGATGTACTGTCTCATTGTACTCCCATTTTTTCACCAATATCTAATGAATGCAAAAGATCTGGTCTGTAGTTGATCTGTTATGTTGAAACCCACACTGATGATCCCCAATAATTTCATCTGTATTGAGAGAAGAATATTGAACAAAATTTTGTATGAAGTTGATAGCAGTGAAATCACCCCGATACTTACTACACTCAGTTTTGTCACCCTTGTGAACTGGTACGATAATAGACTCCTTCCGCTGATAGGCAATTTTTCCTTATGCCAAATAGAAGTAATTAGATTATGGATCTTAGAACATAATATTTCGCCTCCTGCTTGAATAAGTTCTGCTGGAATTTGATCACTACCTGGCAATTTATACCATTTCAATTTTTCAACAGCACTTTCAACCTTACAAGGGCTAGGATCAGGTACTAACGGCTCAGCTGTATGGATTTCTGTCTGCCTAACAGCACTGACCCTATGTACATTCAATAACTGAGAGAAGTAGTTTCTCCACCTATTCACAGTGTTGTGGGAATCTGCAAGCAGATCACCATTTTCATCCTTCAATAAGTTACTGCTAGGCTGGTAACCCCTTTTGAAAGTCATTCCTCTATACAGGTCTCTGATGTTCTTCTTACTGTTCATTACAAGCTCATCAATTTTGTCTTTCAGGTATTCCCTCTTTTTGTTCCTGAAATTCCTGCTGGTTTCATGTCTTATATTCAGATTATCCCCATTTAACTCACTTGGATTCTGTAACCATTGCAATTTGGCCTGCATTGTTTGATCTAATATTTTTGAGCATCCGTCTTCAAACCATGGCTTATGCTTCTTCAGTTCATAATAACCTAGACTCTCTTTGGCAGACATTTTTATATTCTAATAGTTTTCCAAGCTTTATTTAACATCCACCTCAGTTTCCAAGTTTTCGAAAGCCGCAAGCCTATTTGAGATATCAAGATGACACTGCTCTTTACCCTCTACCTCATTTAATTTCTTGAGATTGAACCTCTCCATATGAACTCTATGTGTTTGTTTGCTCACTGCCAGTCTTTCTCTAACCTTTGCCGCCACCAGGCAGTGGTCAGTATCATAATCTGCTGCCCTGAATGATCAGACATCGGGTATACTTGAGTGCTGTCTCGTATTTATCAAAATATGGTATATTTGATTGAGTATCTTCCCATGAGATGTCCAAGTAAATTTATGGATGTTATGATGGAACATTGTACTTTTGACAGTAAGATTTTTTGATGTGGCAAAGTTTACAACTCTAACTCCATTATCATTACTAATTTCATGCAAACTCTCATTCCCAGTCGTTGGTTTGAAAATATCTTCCCTCCCTACCCTGGCATTGAAATCTAACAAAATTTTCATAGGGTACTTCAGAATTTATCAGATACATGTTCTTGTTCTTCATAGAATCTATCCTTTATGTCATCAATTTGTATATTCTGTTGGTGAGTGAACATTCATAACAATGATATCATTGTTTACACATTTTCGAAGACCGTTTCTACTATTAATGGGTCTGGATGTGCTTGAGCAGAATGGTTATTGAGACCGTAGATAGTTTGTCATCATCACCGGTAGAACAGTCCTTTTTGAACCATAATCTTTTTTAGAAGGTTCTGCCAGATAACCCTGTTTTCATTTCTTTGGATTTCGCAGCAGTAATTTTTGCAGAACAAGGTCATCTGCCTTGCATCCAATTCCAACTTAGAGGACCAGGTCCCTCTATTTATGTCCCCCCATGACAGGGTGGCCCAGTTGTAATCCCAGGTACCGAATTCCTTTTTCATTGCCTTCTACGATTTGCAGGCCTACAGTGGAGGTATTCTAACATGCCTCCAGATGGAGAATAGATAGAGTGTAGGCTAAGGAAAGAGAGCCTCTTTTAAAAATAGTGGTTCTTAACATCCTTATTATGAAGCAGTGAAACAACTTCGGATTTTATAAGGACTGGTACTCTCCGTTTCACGTGGTACAGTAATGGTACAGTACAAGAAATAGTGGGGGCCAGAGTCCAACCTGTCAATTTCTAATATTAATAATATATCATTTTATTAATTTGTTTTTTCTGTATACTCAGAATTTTGATAATCAATTTTAAGGTATAAAATATACTTTTAATGTTCTATTGACATTTTAATGATTTTAACATTATAAAGTATTAAAATACATTTTTAGTGAGTGACATTCTTGGTGTCTTATATTGTTGCATAATTGATGTGTAGTTTAATGATAAATACTTGGAAAGGATGTGTTTGAAAGGGCCATGGCTTGGTTGCAGTCAGTGTCCTGGCATTTACCTATAGGGATTTGCTGTTGGCACAGTGAACCTCTTTCTGGACCAGGCTTTAATGCTGGATTACCCAAATACGAAGCAAGAGGGCTTCCCACCTGATAATGTTATTCAATTTAAATTATGTAAATTGTGGGTCATTGATAGTCTGTGGACCACCATTTGAAAAAAATATTTTATCATTATGGATTGTACACCCTAAATGCTCAGAGCCTGATTGGAATATTGTAGAATAGTGATTCATGTTTAATATGGTGTGTAGTTCACATTTTCAGGATTCTTATCTCCTATGAACACACTTACAGTAAATAGTGGGTTTCTGTGAACCTCTGTTAGTTTACAGCATGTCCTGTATTGTAAGAATGTGGATTTCTCCATATATTAAACAGAGGAATGTAACATGATTTTTTTTTTTCAAATGAAAATTCTAGCTGCAGAAGCCCCAGAACACTTTGTTGTCATATTTTTCTGCTTACATATACACTCATGTTCACTGAAATGAAGAAAATGATTAAGAATGGTAAATGTTTGAGATTTGAGGTTCTTATGGCAAATATTAAGGTCATGGTCTTCTGTCTTGTGACGCCATATAAACGGTGCATACATGGAAACGTTTTGGAGGAACCTGTTGTTTCCATCCACTCTTGTGCCCTGAAGGCTAGTATTAATTATCCTATCATCAGCACTGTATAGTTTTGATACTGATGATGTTAATAAAAGAACATATATTCTTTGTTCATATGATAGTTCATACTTGATCTCTGTGTTTGGACACAGTTTTTTAGAGTTGGAAGTGGTATTCTGCTGTGTCTAAGTTGCTGTTGAAATTAATTTTCCTGTTGCTTTTATGTATTCATAGACACTTCAAGTAGAGTAATTTATATGTGGGTTTAGATTTTAAGTCCTATTTGCATAATTCAGTGTGATGATACTCAGGTTTGTGAGAAATTTTCCATGGATCTAGGCAACTTAACAGTGTGTTCAAGAGGTTAGCACTACTTTGCATTTTGGATTTCCCTAGTTAAATTTTCAGAGTTCAGTTATCCTGATAGGTTCTTTATGGTTTCTATAGTCCCTTTAACTGGTGGCTGGGATGGACTCTTAAAACAGACCATGATCAGTTCACTGTCATCCTACCTTCTGGTGCTACATACACTCCCCTCATCTGTTTTTTTTCCCCCCTATTTACATTAATTGTAATTTTTAAGTTTTTTCATATATTAATTATGTGTGTATGTGATTGTCCATAGTGAACATTTCCCATACTTCAAGACAGCTCCAAATGGGTGGAAAAACTCAGTGCGGCATAATTTGAGTCTGAATAAATGTTTTGAGAAGATAGAGAAGCCAGCAGGTAATGGAAGCCAACGCAAGGGCTGCTTGTGGGCAATGAACCCAGCTAAAATTGCCAAAATGGATGAGGAGGTTCAGAAATGGTCCAAGAAAGATCCAGTGGCTATTAGAAAAGCTATGATATGTCCAGGTAAATGTCCATGTCAGCTTCTTTTGGTGAATTATGCTCAAGTGAAATGTCAGTGATGTCCATGTTGTTATTTTCTTAATCTGCCTGTCCATTTTCCTGTGTATCTAAAACGAATTGTGATAAAATTCAGTTTAATGACAGTTTTGTCAAACAAAAAAATACCTTTTATTGCATTATTGCTAATCTAATGTTAAAAGAAGTTTCCAGTTTCTGTAATGAATAAATGCAGCAGTTTCTTACCATATACATTTTTGAATAAAACATCTGTGTTGGCTAAGCGAAAGATTTGTAGGACATTGGGAACTGAGGGAATCTTTACAGTTATTGAAGTTTAAGTTCATGACATGTATGCCGTGTCCGTCTTGTAGTGCACTCAATTTCACCTGTTATTTCACAACATGTTTCGGCAACATGGTGCCATCATCAGGTGCTCCATTTACATTAATCTATTGCATTGCTTGCCATTATGTCATTGTAAAATTATTTACAGCCAAAAAGGGAACACACATCATGAGACACGATATACACGGAGTATAAGAGGAACGACTCCCATAGTGGAGGAACCATGCGTGGGTTTGGATTGGGACATATATGATGAATATCTTAACAAGATTTTAGTGTATAAAAAATTTATTATAATTGACGAATATTTTTAAATAATTTTACGATGACATAATGGCAAGCAATGCAATAGATTAACGTAAATGGAGCACCTGATGATGACACTATGTTGCTAAAACATGTTGTGAAATAACAGGTGAAATTAAGTGCACTACAAGACGGACACGGCATACATATCATGGACAAAAATCAGTGCAACAGGACGCTAAAATACAACATTATGAAGTTTAAGTTGCCTGGTTCTACACTAAACACAAAAAAAAAATGTAAGTTCATGTTTGACAAATTTATCTGCTTGAAGCAGTAACGTGGTAAAATGAAAAGGGTCCAGTTGTCTCCTATGTTACAGAAAGATGCATTGCAACATTAATATGGAAGCTCAAAAACTGGTTTCTAATGCCATTAGTGACTTCCTCTTGAGATCCATTTCTATCTGCTTCTGGGTATTTTCACATCTCTGTTTCCTTTGAAATTGTATAAGTATTCTAATTTTGGTAGTCTGCTATCTTTCATCCAAATTCTTTGGTGCTACCATATTCTTGGATGGCATTAGATATCTTGTAACACATTTGGCTTTCTGTCCCTTGAAGTTACTATTAGCAATGACCTGAGAAATCTCATGTGCAGATTCTATTCTTTTTGTCTGTCTTTTCCATGTGATCAAGAGTGTCGCTTAAAAAACATAAACATAACTTGGCTCTTATATAGCTATACTAGACATCTTATTATATTATTTTAAAATATTTTCTTCATTCCATGTAGTCAGTTATATGTATATGTGTATAGGTTCCTGCCAGACTTCTTGGGAATGTTTGTTGGATGAATTTAAGTTGAAATAATGAAGCATTTGATTTGTTTCCTTTCATTCTGTTCTGTCACAGTAACAATATTATAAGAGGTTAAACAATTCCGTCCAGCGTGACTAGTAAAAATTTTTCTTATTTCAGTCCTTCTATAAAGAATAAAACATGTAAGGGGAGAAGGATTGAGATAAGAAAAATCTTTGCTAGTCACACTGGACGGAACTGTTTAACCTCCTACGATAATGAAGCATATTTCCAAGGTGTAAGATTAAGCATCACACAGACTTGCATTAAACTGCCTTGTCCTTTATTTTTAACAACACACACTATGTTTTACTGTAGACAGACATCAGATGATACTGTGATTCTGAGTTAGGTGTCATGTCACAATATGGAGCATTATCCATGATTATTGTATTGGAAAGAAGTACCCTTTCTGCCTCCTTGCTGATGCACAAGATGGTCGACGACTTGCTTACACAACAAACTTCAGCTGTAAAGTACTGGCGTTTAGAGAAATCCAGTGTGCTAAATTTTCTTCAGACACTTTTTTTTTTTTTTTTTATTTATTATAAAGTTATGCACATGAACTATTGAAAATGTTGCTACCATAACTGCTGGAATGATCATTTCCACTTGCACTCTGCATACTAAGCAACAAGCTGTGTTCATATGCTTTGAATAACAATCTATATATAAAATAATTTACGTTTATATTGTTACACGTTTGAATACTAAAATGCTAAAAGTATACAGAAACTCTCAGTATTTGTCCTCAGCTGAGAAAAATTTGACTGTGTGAATGTGCGACTCATATTGCAAAAGACAAGCTAAGTTGTATTCCCCTGTCTTGGGCTTGTTGTTTATGTTACCGAGACCAAGATGCCAGGTGGTGTGACATGAAATAGTACACAGTTCCACAAAGTCTGGATGAGGTAAATAAAAAAAGGAAGATGCAACACGAATATTATCTGAGATTAAAATGCGGAGTTCCAGCACATTTTAAAACAAAATAGATTGCTTAGAAAGTTAGAAACAACTGATTGAGCCTTGTCAGAACAGTGCTCTGTCAAATATAAAATCATTCTTAGCCTATATTCTGAATATATTGTCATATGATCAACTGACAGTAGATGGGGTTTGGATTGATGACTCAATTTATTGACCTCTTATACACTTATGACTTGTGACCACACTTTACAGATCACTGATGCACACAGACTAGTGTCCTCAGTCTGTTACAGTCTCCACTAGCCATTTCCTGGCAACAGATTTTAACACAGGAACTGTGACAGTCTCACTGAATTACACACTCCACATATCTCACATAAAGTATCTCTTCGCACCTGGGCTTTCAACTGATCACTTTTGCAATTAACTCCCAGCCATTTCACATCAAACTCTTAGTCTTCTCTTCACCACTTGACTATCAGCTCACTAAGTCAAAGTGAAAGTCACATTGCGACTGACGGTCAGTGAGTCAGTCAGTCAGTAAGTCTTGGCGTCGAGCCCCATCTGGGGCTCATGACCAGATATTTATTACTCTTTAACATTTACGGTCTCGCTTTTGTGGGGCGCCCTCTCTGACAGACGGGTCTGTCTTCTATATATGCTGCTGACCCTTGCCAGCGCAGTCTTTCTCGGATCTGAGTCCCTTGAGACTCGCAACCATATTTTACTGTCTCAGATTTGAGACTTTCCTTTTCGTCGCCTCCTACGACTTGCAAGGTCGCAGTGGAGGTATTCGAACCTGTCTCCACACAGGGTATGAGCTCACTAAGCTTTAAACCTCCTGTTTATAACATCTTGGCACAGACCACATAGAAACATGGCTCCTCTGTTGTTAGTGTCTGGATTCTTTGCTGCAAAGATTTGTTTACTGTGCCGTTGCATAGCAACTTCCACAATGCTGACCACAGAAAACGCTGTTCCTCTGTCACTGTACCATTGTTGCATTTATGTCTGTTGCTGTGGGAAAGTGTTTACAGAGCCGTTACTTAGAAACAGCTCTGGTATATTTGCTTATCTCGTCACATAGTAACGGCTCTACGGAGTTTGTTCCAACACATTCAGGAGGACATGGCTCTTCACCTAAGTATGTGTTTCATCTGAAATTATGAAAAGTTTTAAAATCTTAATTGCTTTCATATTTTCCTCTTTCATGACTGTTATTTTATAGTTATAATTATGCCATATTTCATAACTCTTTTGTTTTGTATTTGTCCATAAGTATAATTATGTTTCATTAAAATGTTTATAATCTTTTGATCTTCGAAAATATGCATAGCTAGTGTATAGTTTTTCCTATTTTTACAGTTGCTGAAAATCCAGATCAGAATTCTGTTTTATACACTTTGTAATTTTGTGTGTGTGCAGAAAACCTGGAAATGTTAGAGAGAGGAGAGATGAAGCGTGAATTTTCGGGTCTGTCAAGCATGAGTGGTGGATGTGGTACAAGTCTCTCAGGTGGTGAGGAAAGTGATGATGAATTGGGTGGTAGTGCACCCCCCACACCACTAACTCCGCTCTCTGCCTCTCAGCAACATGTGTCTGAATTTATTGACATCAACCAGCTCAGTGGAGGTGGCGGAACAGACTCGTTTGATGAATCAAGTCTTACAGGATTTGATATTGAGGTAGTGGTAATTGCTTTTGAAACTACCTCTGTTGTTTAATTTTAGACATATTTCATTAATTTTAGCTTTGAAAATTGATTTTTAAATAATGTTGCCCTTTCCCAGCAGATGATGAAGCAGTCCTCTCCCCCATAATGTCTATGGTGTGGTGCTTCATCAGGCTGGAGACAACTTTATAAACATTAAATACAAGATATTAATATGATGTGAGAGCCTTCATTTGTGCTTTTTTTTTTTCTGACCATTATTTTGTCTCTGCAGGTAGCTGATGGAATTTATGAAGAATTAGATTCACATGATGAAAAACTAAATCTTGGTATTACTCTGACACCAGCCATGCCTAGTGACCTGATAACATCTTACAGTAGTATTTCTCTCCCAGTTACTTCGTCATCTTCCAAGTTAATAAAACAGGAGGACAGCACTTCGGAAGAAAATGTTGAGGTTAGATTTGAATTTCAGTGTGTTGTGGAGTAAAGCTGTTGATGCTTAGCATAATGTATCTGCTTGCTGCATTTACTTTGAATTAACAGAGGCATTCCACTTCATAAGTGGTTTTGTTTTCAAGGGCTATGGTTCTCATTTTGGTGTAATCTTTGAAATTATGACTACGATGGGGTACCCAAAAGAAACCGAACTAATTTTTTTGTGGGCAGAGCTTTTGTAGTACCGTGTTTTGCCGCTGTGAGCGCATAGAGCTAACATTCCTGAGTCGATAAGCCGACTACCGTTGCTTCAGAAGGTAAAGACTAGTTTCGGCAGAGTTTATAGTGACAAATGTTTTGTGTGATCATCGTTTTTGCAATGGCTGATTTTCGTGAACAGCGTGCGGCGGTGAAATTCTGCTTTTTGCTCGGGAAAAATGGAACAGAAACTCTTGAAATGTTAAAAACAGCGTACAAGGACGATGCTATAGGGAAAACTCAAGTGTTTTGAGTGGTTTTCCCGTTTCAAAAAATGGTGAAATGTCAATTGATGACAAACCTCGTTCTGGTCATCCTTCCATGGCCCGAACACATGAAAATGTTGAAAAAATTCGTGAAATCATCAAGGAAGATCGACGACGGACCATTGAAGAAATTGTGGAGCTGTTGGGAGTGACTTGGAGCTCAGCGACCAGATTTGTGGCAGTCGGGTGACTGGTTTTTCCATCATGAGAATGCCCCTGGTCACACAGCCCTGTCTGTACGACAATTCTTGACCAAAAATGGTATGACCCCTGTTCCTCACCCGATCTTGCCCCGTGCGACTTTTTTTTTTTTTTGTTTCCTCGAATGAAAAGAGACATGAAAGGAAAAAACGATGGAGGCGCTGTCAAGCATCTCAAAAGATGAATTTAGACAGTGTTTTGAAAAATGGAATAAAAGACTAGACAAGTGTATTAGTGTAAGTGTAGAGTACTTTGAAGGGGATTGAAGGTTTGTGCTTAAAATTTGAATAAATAAGTTCGGTTTATTTTGGGTAGCCCCTCGTATAAGCATTATTTCAAAAGCATGCATGCTAGTCTGTCATATGTGAGTTAATGAAGACAGATGGTAGGTATAAATATGTATATAGAAGGTAAAGCTGTCCCTGTAACAGGCTGTAGAAGCCCTTATGGTTGTGAGATGTCAGGGCTTCCAAATTTTCTAGACAGTCAGCTCACAGACACCATTGAGGTCAGCCCTATGTACCGACAGCCATTTATCCCAAGGAAGATTTTTGGTACTCATTTCTGTTAGAGGCTGAGTCATTCCCAGGGCATAATGCAGCTGGAAGGATTAGGTCAATTTAAAATCCAGTGACCCCATTGGGAATCAAAACTATGACCTTCTGGCTTATGGCATAGTGCCCAACCAACTACACTACTACATACCCCCAAGTATAAATATATTTATATGAAACATCTTGTGATGTGGATTTTGTTAACTGGCAAGTAGTTTTTAAGTTGTATTTCTTGAGCCCTGCTTCCATGTTGAATGAAATTTGCATAGCATTCGCTGAAGCTAAGGGCAATATGCTTCTCTTCACAGGTTACTAAACGAAGTAGATTAAACGGCAGCACAATACAGGGGAATTATGTGTACAAACCAATGGTAGCAGCAGCAACAGTGAGTGGTACTGGCAGTGTTGCAGGTTCAAGAAGAAAAGCACCGTTACTTCTTCGAGCTTCACCATCTGCTTCATCTTTAATCAAACTTGAAGATCCATAAAGATTATGTAATTTCTTTTTATGACAGTGCAATGTCATCTTAGCATTGTCCATTTGTCTCCTTTATGCTTCTGAAACATTGGCTCCTGTCATGCTTGAAATGTTGTACCTGAGAGAAATTAGTAATTATGTTATTAAGTTACTATAAGCTGAATCCCCACACCTTCCATCAACATATTGTAGTTCTAGTATATGTGAACAGAACTTTGTTTAATCTTCTTTCATAGTGCTGTTATTTGAGAGACTTCAGAGTGCAGCACCAGTTAGTGAACTGTAGGCAGTATTACTATTAACGTCTTGTGTACTAATAATGAGTCTCACTTGTGGATGCTCCAGGAGTCTGGCATGCATGACAAATCATGCCTCTTTCGTAACTTAAATAGAGAACCAGGGTCACATTGAATGACACTTAATTTTTTCATTGCTGAGTAATTAGTAACCCTTTTGCTAACTTTTTGCAGTTTTCCTTAAATATGAAAATAAAGAGAAATACCGTGGAAATTGGAGGAAAACATACCCTCCTCGTATGTTATGATACCAATTTGGGAATATAACTCTCATCATATATTATGAAAGTGAGTTGGGAATGTTTGTGGATGCCATTTTTGGTATCCCTATTATGGCCTAGGTCAGTTGATGTCACTTATAGCTGCACCAGTTACTAAACAAGTCCAGAATGTTCATGATAGATGGAAGTATATACCCATTGAGTGTGAACATGTTCAGAAACTAGTTTGTGTGATCTGTACTAGAGTCCATGCCCATAATGATATGGGCTCCGGAAGTATGCCATATTGCAGGTGCCTATAACATGGCCTCCGCAGTGCAAAAGTTGAAGGGCGTGAGGATTTATATGCACCACTTTGGAAGAATGGGGGAGTAGACATTCTGTGCTTCCTTGTAGATAGAGCTCAGTACAATACAGTTCAAGGCAAATGAAATGTAATTCTGAAAATGCTTCCTACTTATGTATTTTAACATACTGCCACGTTTTTCACTTCATGGTGTTTTTATTGCTATTTAAGTATTCGGAATCTCATTTGTTTCCCTTGTGAGCCAAAGATGTGTACAAAATGTTGTATTACATTAATGTTTTAATTGACAGTGTGTTTAATTTCAAACATAATTATTATTATTATTATAATGTAAATGGAGACAAGTGGACAGTATTTTAAGTTCAGTTTGACTGGTTGTGTTTGGAAAAGCATGTGGCATCATGTAGTTTTTACCACCATGCTTATCTACTTATGGCAGGCAGTTTTAAAAAGTGATTTTGTTGTTTTGCGCATTGTACTAGTATTGTGGTAAAATTGTTTTAAAGTGCCTTAGACATATTTTTGATGATGGGACCAAGAAAGTTGCTTGAATGGGGGTACTTATGTATCTAAGTTGGACTTGTTGCTGCTTTTATTCCAACCATATAAGATTGAGTAATGCCGATTCAAATATGTTTTATATTGCAATCATTTTGCAATGATGAAAGTGGTGCAGGAAAGAACTGAATAATTGTAAATAAGTTCTATGTGAGTGTAAATAACAGTTCCTCTCTGAGAATCAGAACAGTTTTGTACAGTCTCCAAAATATGCCTGTATTACTCAGAATGAAAGGTCCTTATGTCTGCCTATGCTGCAGGAAAGAGACACATTTGCAAATAACAGGCCAGAAGCATAATGCTCCTTGTATCAGACAGGAATGATATGTATGAACAGTTATGAATTTGCTTGTAAAGATTTAATGTTTTGGGTACTATGAATTGACACTGTTTTGTGTTGGGAGTCAGCTTCCAGTAAAGCTCACCGGTAACTACAGAGCTTTAGCTGCCCGTTATGTATGTGATTGCGGTGATATCAAGAGTTTGGGTTTATTTCATTTAATGTGTGAACAGATGTTGACTTAGATAAAAATTTACTTAAGTTATTTGACTTCTTGAGAATATTTAAGTATCTCTTGTATTCAGTTCCATGTTGCGGTTTTCAGGGTTTTGACACATTGTCATTATGCAGAAGACGGTAGAATGAATCTTCATATCCTGACAACCTCAGATCTTATATATTGTATTTTTTGGCTGTATCTTAACAAGAAGCAATTTGCAAAATGAGTTGCAGCCTAAATATATGTATTACTAAACCTGCTTAATCCAATGGCTGTTTCCCACAGATAAACTGTGAACCGTGAAAATTTTAATCTGCACTTTATCCTTCCCATTTATTTTGAGAAATGTAGTTCATCAGTAGCATGCAGCATTTTAAGATGACACTGAATGGGATGTATAAAGGAATTGTGATTGTCAAGGTAGTAACCAGGGCCCGGATTTTGATGACCTGACAATATTAAAAAAATGGCCAAAAAAATTCAGAAAAATGACCTAAAGGAGAAAAGGAGAACACTTCATTTCCATGTTATTCACTTTTCAGTAAACATATGAAGAAAAATACCCTAAAATGGCCAAAAATGACAAGAAATACCCTTAAAAGTGCAAAAAATTTACATTTCTGTAACCAGCAGCTCATATCCGAAATTTATATGTTCAAGAGCATCGCATAGGATACAAGGAAAGAAAAGATGACATGTCAAAATCCTGGCCCTGGTAATAACCATACTTGCATAATGTCCCTTTTTCCCCATTTTTGCTCTTGAAGTAAGGAGGAAGGGGTTGCTAATATTTGTTGTACTTCCAGGACATTTTTTAATTATATGGACATGCCCATAAAATTTCCTTGGGTGTTGCTTCTTAGCATCCCATTTCTAAAGTCCTGGTTTATCACTTAATTGATGTGCAAGTCACACATCAAAGCTGAAAATCACGCTGAGTAACTCATGTGTTTCCTGTCACTACTCTTTCCAGCCCTTGAACGAAAGACAAGGGAGTCACACTACTGTGTGTTAAAGTAACCTTTACCTTATTCTGGATGTTCAGTGGCCCAAGGGAAGGACTGTGGCAATACTTTAAAATACATTCAGTCCATTCCAGAAGTTACTCAATCCAGTGACAAGCATATTAAGCAAAAGTCGCCATTCCAGACTTTAAGCTGAGTTCTTGTAGGAGCACAAATGAAAACTGAATGATTAATCATGACAAAATTAGGGGAGGATATGCATATGGTAAAAATGTATAAATTTCCATCTCAGTAATGGGACGGAGGACGCAATGTAAGGCAGGCCTTTTATATGAATAAATAGTTCATATAGGCTTTAATTTTTTATCCTGAGGTGTTGCAGTTTATGTGGAGTGCCAGCTACAATTCAAGCCCATGCTGCTTTTTAAGCCACACCTTTTACATTTATTCTCAGCATATCAAACTTAGCAATTATTAAAAGTGAAGAGTAACTTGAAATTCTGTAGATTATATCTGATAGGAATTATTCAACCCATGTAGCTCATACAGATTGGAGGTAAAGTTTTGTTAAGAGAACTGGATTCTAAACTTGATGTTTGATCATTAAGTGTCAAATTGCTGTCTGAATGTGACAGATGATTAAATGGAATTTTTCTGCGGATGGAAAACATTGCACATTTTCTCAAATGAAAATAGGTAGATAGTATCATTAAAGCGATACAAGTTGAAGATGCAGATGGACTGCAAAAGTGGAAGTATTCATTGCTCATTTAGACAGAAATGTAAAGCCTTTTATGCTAATGCCTATATAAATGTTGGCCTAAGCTGCTTAAGGAAGATTGCTATACTGAACACTGATTATATGTGATTCTCATCAACTCTTGAATGTGTGCATACTTGTCATGGCTCTAATGTTTCCGTTCTGAGTAATCTGAGTCATATGGAAAGGATGTTGTATGAAATTTATCATTTGATTATACAGGTGGGTTGCATAATTAAGATATTTCAAATTTTAGCTGGATGATTTTTACACACTACATTTTCTTTCTTTATGCATTGCTGCATATCACTGGGCATTGTTGATGAAGATGTGCCATTCTATCTTCATGGAGCTGAACTGTTCTTGAGAAACCACCAGCTGCACAGCTACTCAAGAATTTCCTAACATTTTGTGTAGCCTGAATGTTCATTACCATGTTCAAAAGAGCCCTCCACTGGTCCCTATTCTGAGCCAGATCAATCAAGTATGTACCACCCCATCCTATCTCTAAGATCCAGCTTAATATTATCCTCCCACCTATGTCTTAGTCTTCTTGGTGTTCTCTTTCCTTCTGGCTTTCCCAACAAAATTGTATATCCATTCATTTTTACTCCCATTTGTGCTAAATGCCCTGCCCATCTCATCCCCCTTCACTTGATCGTTCTAATTGTATTTGGTGAAGTGTACATGTTCTGAAGGTCCTCATAATGCAGTTTTCTCCAACCTATGGCTTCATCGCTCCTCAGCACACTTTTTACGAAAGCCCTGAGTCTGTATTTCTCTTTTAATGTCGAGATACTGAGTTCCATGCCCATACAATACTACAGGCAAAATTATACTTTTGTGTTCTGGTTTTTCCGTCTTTAGACAGCGGATGTGGGGACAGAAGGTTCTGGGCTGAATGGTAATAAGCATTACCCAGATTCAGTCTCCTCTTACTTTCCTCCTGAAGCACCTTTTGATTTGTTACTGTCATTGCCACATTTTCACATTTATATGGACAAAATTTTCCTTGCTTAAGTTTATAATCACTGGTATTAGCTATGAATATAATGCTGTTACCATTTTGTAAATAGCAGTCATAGCTATATATTACTGAGTAAAGTTCCTTCACTCTATTGCAGGTTAACAGTATTTATAGTCACTGATATCTAAAACTTTTATAAAGGTGATTATTTTCACATGTTTGTTTTTAATTTAAAATTGAAAATGATGGCATATTTCTGTTAACAGTCATCGAATACATTGGAGCCTCTTGTGAAGCCTTCCAAGGGACTTGACATTTCAGACTTGTCTTAAAAGTGTAGGGTAAAGAATACCAAATTAATTCAAAGTGTTGGGTAAAAGTATTCATAATGCATATTAAACAGAAAATTTAGAATGGGTGAATAGAATCAGCCATCTGAAATCTGGATGACGTTAGGTTCAATGGCTTTTCAGCGCTATAAAGGGCTATTAATTTTATAACAAAATGGCATTTTATATGAAGGAGATCTTTTTACAGAGCTCATTAATTTGCTGAAGCCTGAAGTTTATCAGAATGATATTCAGAAGTTTGTTTCCAACATCATAGGAAACAGCTCAGTTTTTTTTATCAATACCAGTACCCCAATGTCTTTGGAATAAAATATCTGTTTATTCTAGGTATCATCCAAAACATGTAGTTGACCACTGCTTTAAGTGGCTTTTCTGGGGAGCTTTTGAGACTAAATAACTAGAACAATGTGTTGCACTGCATGTCGTATTTTTTTTAGCAACTGTGCTAGCCATTTCAAGTTTTAGCAGTAAAGGATGGTAAGGATGTTAGAAAGGGTTAAATGGTGTGCCACTTTGTTTTCCGGAACTTCCATCATGTAGCTACAGATACATTCATGTATGTAGGAAGTGCATTTGAATTCTTGCCAGTAGCCTCTTATTAAGCAATATTTCTGCTTTGTGCCCCATACTAAAGATATTTTCATTCTGATTGCATATGTATGTGTGTGGGGGGGGGTGAATGTACAGCAATCCCTCACAGACTGTTGAGTTGCATTTCAGAAAAATTCTGTGGATGGCAAATTGCAGGGTGAAGGTCTTGCAGTGATTGTGAATGCTGTTATAGACAGTGTTACGTAACTTCGAACAAGGCCCCACATTCCTAGTCAGATCCTGCGCATAGCTTGTGGTGGGAGGAGTTTCTTAACACTCATTCTTCCACTTTCACCGACCCCTCATGTTTTATTGAAACTACCCTATTCTCTTTTCGAAGAACATATTACAATAATACAAATATATTGTCATTCATCATGCAAAGAAAAATACGTTTAATGTGTATTACTAATTTATACTTTGAAAATTAAAATATAATAGTCATATGTAATGAAGAAAAGAATTTAGCCATTCGTCATGGAAGTACGTGTAGAATTAACTAGTGTGTCCATGGTCACTTTCTGTTACAGGCTTCTCCTAACGTTTCTTGGTCAGTGAGTCAAAGGAAGTACCCCTTTTTTCTTTTCGAATAATTTCAATGAGTGCAGTATGGCCGATTCCTATAGCTTCACATATTGTTTTCTGGATTGACTCTTATAGCACCTCCACTATCTGCTAGTGTCTTTAAGTAATTATATACATTTGCAATTACTTGCTTTGTCTGTGAGTGTAGACCTATACCCTGACCTAATTTCTTGTGCATTATGTACAATTTAGTGCACAAGGAAACTGACATTTTTAAACAGATGATAGAAAAACCGTAAGTATAAACTGCTTCGAGGGTGCCTTACAAACAACTGGCCCCCTGTCACTTCTCACACCCTCGAACCCATCCCCTTGTGTGAAATTTTTCTTCTGCACATTCAAGGTTACTCTTGGCCTTATCCAAAGTTACGTGACACTTGCTGTAACACCAAATTATAAAAAAAATTTAGTTGGGAAATTGGAAGTGATGACTTATGGGATCTAGGCATGGGTAGTATCAAGTTAATTCTATAGAAATAGAGCACAGAATGTGGAATGAATTCATCTGGCCATTATGGCCCTCCCAAGAAAGAACAGTGTCTTAATATGGTTCAGTTTGGAGGATGTCTGGGAGAATTCTTTGTTCAAGTGCATAATTTTGTTTTGGAGAGATTTTTGTTGCGCTCATTGAAAACTGATTGACACTCCAAACATGTTAAGTATGCCTTTGTACTGTTTGTAGCATTAATGTTCATGTTGGGTTCTCAGATTTGTCTTTCTTAGAGACCTATAATGACGTTTGAACTAGTGTAATGTATTTTGTATTTGTTTGCAGCTGTGTAGAGAGATTTTGTAAACTGGT